AAAAAAACTAAAAAAACTAAATGTCCAGGAGTCTAGCCCTGTAGTTTTACAAAGAAAACTAAAAAAACTAAATGGCTGGACGTTTAGTTTCTGTGCGAACTGACACGCGCAACGAAATAAATGCGGAACGTCTCTCTAACATATATATATATATTTATATTGACGTCCTTTTGTTATTATGTCAACATTTGTGCTCTAGCTGCTTGTAAGTGTTTGACAACCTTGATCTTGTGACGAAACCTGACGAAACCCTGGTGGTTGAAGTACTGTGAACTCGTGACATGGTCTTTTTGGACATCTTTGAACCCTGCCGTTTCCCTTCCAGAAAAAGCACAGCCGTCTCAAGAGAGCTCAAGAGATGAGATCCATCATTTCGCCGCTTGGATTTCCTGGATCAGCAAGATCCACGGACCTTCTCAGGTGAAGGTACAACTGGACCCTTCTCAGGTTCGCTACATCCAAGAGTGTCCAAAGCCGTTCCTCACAGCATGCCTCCATGGACCCGGGGATCACCAAGCTCTCGGACCACTCTCTCCACTTGGTGGGAGGTTATCACCGATGCTTCGCCGACGTTTCACCGCATCGCGAACCTTTCGAAGACCGTGCAGCCGCCTGGCGCGGGAGGGGGAGACGAGAGCCATGAAGCCTTGGACAGTCGTGAGCACGTTGAGGCAGTTGGCCAGTTGCCATCACAGGGAGTGGGTATACGTTTTTGGGGGGGGGCGCGAAAGAAACAACCCCACAGTATTCACGTTGATCGTTTAAATAAGTATAACTTAACTATATATCCGTAGAGTTCCAAGTACCTCCTCAAAAGGTATGGACCTCCAAAGCCACAACCAAGACCTTCTCAGAATGTCCTTGGAGGGACTGTGAACCGAACCCGTGCGGATCTCATGCGACCCGAAACGACGAGCCTCCATCAATGTAAGGCTCCAAGGCCCAAGGGATCCCAAGGAATCCATGTATCAAAGACGTCTTTTTCCTTCCCAATGTCCCAAGAAGACACCAACAACACAGAGTTGAATTTGGACTGTTATCACCATCCTGCTCTTTTGGGCGCTTGGGCAAGCAAGCGATGCGCCCAGCTTGCGTGGTTTTTTCCGCGCAACGCGGACCGATGTGTGGGAAATCGATCCGAGGAAAGTGTCCTTTCACCATGACACCCAGCATGGAAGGCGGGAACGAAGGGACTAAGGGGGACGAAGCATGGAGCAGTTCGTGCGCGCTTTTGGGGACGAAGTGGATCACCTGCAGGTCACCGGCTCAGCCGGGCCATTGTCTGAAAACCAACAGATGGACGGTTCGGTGAGTCTTTTTGTTCCCAGGCAAACGGCATGGGAGTGCATCTCATCAAGGGGTCATGACCAGGACTGAAATTTGTGGAGCCTTTGATCCTTGGCAGTAGCACTGGTAGGACTCCGTATAGGGTTCACCTTACGGTCACTTAGACTCAGACATATTCATCCGAGTCGGTTTGACCATGTGCAGGGTTGAAGCGGGGATCCAGGAACCGAAGAACATCATTATGATTTCCACAAGTGTGCCATCGTTGCGTTGCTGAACAAGGTCGCACAACAGGCACCTCAAGAAAAACACCATTCCCAGCTCCCAAACCCGCTAGCTCCAACTACCCCCACCGCAGGAAACACGCGGCGCCGGCCCGCACCACGAACGGTCCAGGCCCGTCAGCTGGTCGGACGCCTTGAGTCTCCTGAAGACTCCCAGGCTGCGCACGAGAGCGGACGCGCGGGTGCGCGCAGGTGGGTGGTGGATGGTGTAGCACCCAACCACCTGCGAGCTGCAGGTGGTTGGGTGGTTGGGGTGGTTGGGGTGGGTGCCAGGGTTGCTGTATAAGTAACAAGGGGCTTGTGGGGTTTGTGGGGGTACTACGGATACTAGAGAGTCATCCTGTTCATGTTTCAGGTCCTGAAGTGTTCACTTCATAAGGATTCGTCTGGTCTTTTGATTCTTGCTTGTTGAACTGTGTTGCGGTTCCGGATGTCCAAGCTGAGGAGACCACATGTTTCGGGCTTTGGGATCCAAGGACCGGTGTTGCACCTATAGAACGAAGTACAAAGGTCAGGTTTGTTGTTGTGTTCGATCCACTTCGGCAGAGGGCGCCCAGAGACCGCCGCTTCCAGGTTCCAGGAGCAGCTCACCTCCATCCTTCAGGACGTTCGGTGGACGATGTGCGGTGGACCGTCCTTGGGTAGGAGTTCTTGGACCCTTGGACCCTTGGACCCTTGGTTTGATGTCCGAAGCCCAGTAGGTACTGCCAGTGTTTGCAGAAACAGAAGTGACAGATGGAACGCCACTAGAAAAAACCATCAACAACAAAGTGGATAATGATTGACAGACCACGTACATTCTCAAGCTCAACGGTGGATGCTGGAACACCACTTAAAGCTTCAACAACAGTGGAAGATGGAACGCCACTTGAAATACACAATCATCATCAGACCGATGGGAAGGAAGACGCGGTCATCCACTTAATTGAGGACTTGACTGTGGAACTGACTGTGGATGACAGGACTCGGATCTCGGGAAACCGATCAACGCCAGAAACCGAAACGATCAGCAACATGGCGTGGAAGTTGGAGCACCACATGAACAACCATCAGCCCAGGAGGCCTGTCAACATTGGGTTCCTTAACATATGTTTGTCAACCGTTCTGAGCATGGGTCCACAGCCCGTATGCATGTTCCGATTGGGCTTCAATGAGCGACGATGGAACACTACAAAAAACCGTCCACAACAAAGTGTTGGGGACTTGGGTTGACGGACCGTGCGCATTGTCCAAGACGGTTGCCAAGATAGTGTAGTTTTCACCAAGGGGAAGTGGCAAGAGCGGCTTCGTCCAAGCCCTTTTTGGGTTGCGTCATAGATCCTCTTCTCAACTGCCCAAATCAAATCCTAGAAAACTTTCCCAAGAACCTGGGCCTTGCTGTCTTACCGGCCAGAAACATTGTGAACAGGGACGAAGCAGTGCATGCAGCATGACGCTCATTCACGCTTCAAAGCCTTGAACATGAGTCGCTGATTGCACTGTGCGCCATTACACAGTTTCATGCCAGGCCAGAACTGGATGGCTCTCAGCTTTGTCTCTCTTCTGCGCGTACTCTGTAAACCACCTCGAGACTCTTCGTTCCACAACATCTGACGATGGAACACCACTAACCCAGCCAGAAAGTTCTTGAGGGAACGCCACAATAAACATCAGAGGCTCGGAGGTCTGTCCGAGGCTCGGAAGAAAGATTTGGGAACGTCAATCTTTGGCTTGACAGACTGTGACAGACACTGTGACAGACTGTGACTCGGTTTTCGAAGAACCATTCGCCGCAGACGATGGAAGGCCACTCAAGAAAGTGGAGCATGGAACACCACAGTGAAAGTGAGTTCATGCACTGGGTTTTCTCTCTACCGAATATGCAAGCTGATGGCTCATGACCGTCACAGCGGCTGCAAACACAAGAGCTGCCACAAAGTTTTTGAAAACAACATGCGCAAGAGTTGCCGAGCACAGATCCTCTTAAAGGTCCCAGGTTCCTTCGGATTGCTGCAATGACCCGCGCCGATTCTGTGGTTGTTGATGTCGTTGCCGTTGTCCTTTGAAACTGGATTTGTTCCAAGGCGTTGCTTTAGAAAGAGCAAGGAAAGTGACTGGACCTAAGCATGAAGACACTGGAGACGGAATTGCAGAGAAGGGCCTGAAAAGAAGGTTGAAAACCGACGAATGAGGAGAAGGGGTTTATAAATGTTCTCTTGAAACAGAGGTCTGCTGGAAGATTTCTTACAGCAGTTTTGTTCTTACAGCAGTTTTGGCAAAAGTGCAAGGCAAGAGGGCGTCAAGAATGACACATATTGGTCAGCCGGATGGTTTTTGTTTACAGCAAATTTGGACACAAGAAGGCTACAAAAGCACAAAATGCATTAAACATAGTTTGTTTTTGTGCGTCCTCGAACACAGCTTTCCAAATGTCAGACAAGCTGTTTGTCTTTCTTCGTGCGTCCTCGAACACACGGCTTTACATGTGCGCAAAACAACCTGGTGCAGGAGAGCCCTTTCAAGGCTTTCTACTGGGAATGCTCTCCTTTGAGCTCTGCCACCCAGGAGCGAAGGCCAGACTCGTCATCTTCACAAAACCACGAAACTGCCGACTCCGACGCAGCTAGCTCTTTGTGGCCAGCCTGTGGTTTTGGCCACATTTTTAGAGGAAAATGTATGACGGATGAAGGATTCAAGAGAAGGATGTCTTGTTAAAATTATTGAAAGATGTCCTGTCTTTGTTTCAGTTTGCGTCTTTTTTGTTGTGCATTTGTTGTATTATATATGCGAGAGGTGATTCCAGAATATGATATGTTTTGTTTTGACGTAGTGATATGAGTTTGGGGGGTGAACTGGGGTCCAAGAGGCCCTCATATCGACCTCCGATGTCTCCATCACTTTTTCAGGAAGTAGATGGGATGCTTGGGGCATCTTGGGCCAAACTCTTTAGTATAGCCTTTTATTGGACACATATATACTGTAATTCGAATGTTGTTCAGCATCAATGGCATGTGCGTTGCAGCCACTTCTTAATTTGAAGAAACCCTTTTGGTAATCCGAAGGGTTGAAACCGAAGGCCATTTGAATTTGTGATCATCGAGGGCGCAAATTTGGACCGAGCATCTCCGGACAGCCTGCAGCATTAGTGCGGAAGGGGGTAGATGGATGAGTGAAAAAAGACCATCAAACCCTCGACAGGATAGGACCATTCTCCGCCTACCCATCTTGAATTTGAGGCACCCTGAGCTCCCATAGAACCTCCAACTGACCTACTTTGTGCTGTCTCATCTCATAGTGTTGATAATTTTTGATGCACTCACTCAATACTCCAGATGATTGAATATCACTATCAAAACTATCACTTTAGGGTAGTTTGGGGGGCCAATGCACGGAAACACTGGGTAGGTTTGGACAGTCTGTCACGAAACAACAACACCTTGAATTACTAGCTATTATGTGTTTACTTATTTCTCCCGGGATAGTTTGTTCATGCTCATTCCCATGCCCAGTTCAGGTTGCCTTTTTCTTACAGTCAAGGCTGTGCATTGGAGATGAACACCGCAACAAGTGTCGTGCCATGTGAACACCTGCTAGGACCAGAGGAGGAGGAGGAGGAGGAGGAGGAGGAGGAGGAGGAGGAACAAAGAAAGTGATTTCTCCACATGGCCAGGTTTTGAGATGAAAGAAAGGGTTGGTAGAGGCAGACAAGAACTGGTGCCCGGAATCTGTGCAGATTTGTAGAAAAGATCAAGCATTCATAGTTGTAGACCTGTCAGACTCGTTAGATTGTTCAGAGTTTCAGATCTAAAGTCTGCAAAAGTCTTGAAGTAGTTTTGTTCGCAATGTCAGCAATATATTTCCTGAGCGGTAATTTTTGTGGCCCATTCTCAATCTCAGCACTTCTGGCCTGGAAGAGTGTCGCAAACGAAGCTCTTCACTGAGGACACGGAGTCCTTCTCGGAGTATTTGGAAGGATTCAAAGGCCAAGAAGTGGCCCGAGCCTTCACGAATTTAGGAGGCCGGACCGAGGGCGAGGGTCTATGCCTGAGATGATTCCTCTTTCAGAAACTCTTCAACTTCCTCTACTTGTACCAAGCAATGGTTCTGGCCACCAATATTTTTGGACACTGCACCATGACTAAACGTGCCCTTCAAATCCTCCTTCCCTGACTATGTATGGACATTTGTGCAAAACAAGAGGTGTTCACTTTGCGCAACGCCGCTGACTGACAGAACTTCCTGACCACATCCAGATTTTCTCCAGGGCGGTTCATAGAATAGAACAACTTCACCAGGTGATACCAGACCCGTGCGACTAGCTAGACATTAGCTGAAAGCCGCACCACACGACGAGGGACCAAAAACAACGTCAGCGCATAACAACCTTTCGTGAAAGAGTTGCTGTGTTTTGCCAGCTGGTGGTACTGATGTGCTTTTGCTTGCGCTTTGTTGGCATACTGTGCCGTGCCTCAGGCTGTCAATAAAGGTCAAGACGGTATTTTCACGATTATGACCAACAATTGTCGGTTGCTTGGGTATGCTACTTTGCCCGTCATTGGGATTATTGGGATTACAGAGTCGGCGGAAGTTGCTACACAATCTGCTGTGTCATGTCCAACGATGGTGAAAAGACCAAAGGAGTTGGTATTTGGAATGTGCGTTGGCTTTGGTCCAAGAAACATCCATTCAACCAAATGTGTTTTCTTGGGCTAGGTCGGGATTTGTCAAAATAGCAGCAAAGAAGAGTTTGGTCAACGATATCGGGACACAAACATCATCAACTGTGAAGCAGCAAGATCTGGTGTTGAACGTCAGGTCGTCCAACTTGTGTGACACCAAAGGGAGTCAAAATAAGTCGAGTTCCAAAGTTGCTGTTGGATGTGATTCACGAATTCGTAAACAAAAACTGCACAATCTTCTGAAGGCCAATGCGTCTCGCCAAATGGGCAGTTGGTCGTCTCAATGCGCCCGCCAGTTGCCTTTAAACGCCTGACCATCCTTCGTCCTTAACCATGGAAGTGGTGATGGATTCTTTTCCAAGATCTGCAACACTTGTTCACCGGCGACGTCAATTTCACAACTTTGGCGACCGCGCACATTGGGCGGGATAGCAGATTCACTCGCCTGAGTGGGGCGGATTGAGTCGGGATACCCCCCGGCCCCCCGTAGACGAATAAGATGATGGACCCTGAGAATTCACCAGCTACAACTACAACCCAGTGGTTTTGGGTTCCATGTTAATCTGCAGGGAAGTATCCTGTTTGGGATTTTGTTTGGCTTCTGGCCGACCTGGCTTAAAACCTCCGTGTCAAGGCGTTTGGAGTGGGTGGTTTTGGGATTTGTCCCTACCTTCTGAGACTTCTGCGCCAGCCTTCGGGTATAGAAGAGGACGTGGACCCCTTGTCAATCGTCCGGTCCCATGGAGAAATTTGGCTTGCTCTTAAGGCTGGAGGCCATCGCTTGTAGGTTGGAGGCCCATGGGCTGGAGGCCATCGCTTGTAGGTTGGAGTCTTTGGGTTGCATAGCTCACGGCCAATGGTCGCTCCGACGGTCGGGGCCTTGAGGGCTGCTGAGACTCGCGAGGTGATTCCACCTTGGTCGCACCAGCACAAGCGACGGCCTCGCCCGAGGCGAGAAGTGGTGAACTCATCGAAAGACAGTGATGCTGATAGGAGTGAAAGAGGTAGATGTCATATGATGTCATTAGATGTCTATGATTTCCTCACAAACACAACACCTAGCCGCTCAGCCTTTGGTTGCAGCTCTCGTGGCTTGAGTGGAGACTCGGTTGAGTGAGGCTTCAGAGCCCGGAAACATCTATCTTCGAGTGTTGAGGAAGAGAATGCTTGGGTTTCTCATCGTGAGCCAAGATATTGGAATATATTGGATGGTGGGCCCATTCCGAGACACTCCGGACTGATCAGGAGGGTTGAATTCAGGGCTGAATGTAGGCAATTCCAGTTCCTTGGAGTGTTGGGGATTCGCCTACAGCCATTCCCAGAAGACGCAAGTGTGTAGGTTGGTTGTTGCCTCATGTCGCGCGGGTCACACGCGGACCCACAGGACTACAAGCACTTCGGTGCTTTCATCCGGCGAGCGCCATCTGCCCAGCATCATGCAGCATGGAAAACCTTAGGGCAGGAGATCGAAAAGCGCTTGGAGCAGAATCCACAGGACGGGCCGGGAGGTCTTTTTGCCTTTCGTGTGACTGGAGTTTCACAAGCTGAGGGGGTTCAGGTTTGAGAGCCGCCCTGCAACTTCGCAATTCACTCACGCCCAGGGGGTCTCCTGTAGCCACCGAAAACGACGCTCACAGTCTCCGCTAGCCACCGAAAACTAAGAGATCTAGTAAACGCAAACTCAGGAGATGTCAGGAGTAAAAAGAGCGTTAGCATGTAACATAGTTGGTTCCTAAAGAGATACAATGTTGTTTCGAATCGCCTTGACGCAAGTGGTGGAAATCACGATGTATTCTTTCTACCAAAATGTGTACTCGTATCCTTTGTACTCTGCCTGTGGCATCCAAGATATGTTTCTGGTAATCTAGGTAGCCTTGGTAGCTGGTCTTAGGCAGAAAACATATGTCCAGCTCTCCTAGAGGAATACACACCTGGAAGATTGATGAATTCGAGCCAGTGAAAGGTCTAAGACTCTAAGGACCGCCAAGATCCAGAAACCCAGCACAAAATTTCAGCACCAGCAGCTGCAGCTCATCTTCAGGATTAAGACTTAGAATATTTGGCAGGACCTGGCACCTGGATGTCTTTTTCTTGATTCCCTCATTTTGTCCACCAAAAGACTATAGTCATCCTGGACTAGATCGAAATATTGGGAAAACTCAATGAAAGACATGGGAAGCTGGTCATGTTTTTGGATTGGTTGATTGATATTCTACTCCAAGATTGTTATACACAAACAGCAGGGCCTGCGGAGGCCGACGGGTCGGGTCTTCCACCGTGTCCGAACGAACACTAGGCGCCCTTCTGGGTGAGCACTGAGGGCTCAGGCGTTGCGTGGCTCCACCTTCGCCTCTGGGATGCAAACAAAAAACTCAACCTGTTTCTTCTTCATGTTCGTATTTTTACTATTTTATAATTAGTTTCTTCTTCTTCTTCTCCTTTTTCTTTAGTTCTCTATCTTTAGAAGAAGTCCAGTGAAATGAATGTTGTCCTCACCTAGGGCTCCTGGCCCAGAGCTTCAGAAGGTACTTAGAACCCCAACCACCTAACCCCAAGCACCTTGGAAACGGAGGTAGTTGGAGTCCTAGGGCCTTGGGGAGGATAGGGTGCTGTCATGATATCTCGTGGCGAGGTTACCCAGTCAATTCCTATTGGCAGGCAAGCGGTTTCAACTTTAACACCCATCCTTGCGACAAATCTCCAGCTACCATTGATTAGATCGGGCAACAGAGATGCGTGGCACAGAGAATTTACCTGGGATCCCATTTCAACACTCCCAGTCACGTGGTTCGTTCGAAACAAACACCATGAACACATCCCAGCAGTTCCAAACGGGTGCTATGCTTGGAGCTTCAGCTCCGGGCGGTTTTGGACATGTTTGGACATCTGGTTCCGGCCTTTCATGGGCCAACACTCACTGGTTGGCGGGGTCTCCAATCACACACCCATCTGCAAACCAATCACTACCTCCGGTGCCGTGCACGACCTCGTGCAGAGCTCTCCCCACTCCGGCGATCGAGGCATTGATCCACGGCCCAAGTACTACCACCATCGCGAGTATCGCTCACCGGAGCCACTGATCCATCGGGCGCGCGCGCGAGCGCGACGGTTCCCTGGGAGGTCTGACGATCCGGACCGGTCCGGAGCACAGAAATCCACGCTGGCGCTGTTTTTTTCAATCGTTTAAAGCGTGGATTTGCTGAGTATTTGGGTGAATCTAGTTTTTTTTTGGTATCAGGTGTGAATGGCAGATCATCTCACCGCTGGGATTGTTTTTTTCTTGCGATCTATCATCAATTTTCTCGCAGACGGGGAATGATTCTTAACAAGCGAGTGGTTCTCCGGGTACGTTTTCAGAGGTCGAAAGTGACCTTCCGGATCCGACGTGAAGGGAAAGCATCCACAGATAGACCATTCGCTTGGAACAAAAAGATGCCCTCCACTCAGCAATAATTACAAGCTACTACTGCAGTTACGCCTTGAAAAAGCCGGCATCAGCTGTCGCCACACCAGCTGTAAGCCCGAAATTCCGCCATACATGGTGGCCAATTGAGTGCTGCTTATTTTATCCCCAGGCATCAGCTTGCAGCGCCATATTAAATTATAAGCCGAGCAGGTAGGATTCTATCAACTTGATGCAGGCGATGCTCCTTTTCAATACAGCTTTGGCCCAGCAAACCATGTCTTTAACGAAAAGTACACTCCCAGCGGCAAATGCCAATGGCAACTCAAAACCAACATGAACCAACGTGTTTTGTGTTGTTTGCACATCCAGATCACCTCACAAGTGACTTAAGTGTTTCTTGCAGGACATGATGTTGAGATCATTGAGTTATTGGTTTGTTATTTTCTGTGGCATTTCTTGCCTGTACCTTTTGTCGTTGAGTCCGTTTGTCCCAACAACGAAAGAGGTGCCTGTTTGGCAGTCGAGCACCTCACCGCTACCGACCATGTGAGGAGTTCAGAAACACAGTCGAATCGGAAATTGACAGGGTCCCAGGGTTGCTAATCAATCCCAGGGCCCTAGGGCTCCAAGTACCTTCTGAGAAGGTGTTTGTTATGCATGCAATCTAATCAGAGAATTCACCATCCATCCAATTCATATTCCTTCACAGCTCACCTGGCCACTTCGTTTACCAAAAGCACATCGCAGTTTAACGTTGCTTTCTTCTTAGAGGTGTTCGGCTTAACCCCGTCGCAGTTCAAAATACGCTGGTAAACCAAGAACACCACAGCCTGAGTACTGCCCAGACATGCTTGACACCTTCTAAGGTATGGCCTTGATGACTGAGTGAGTTGATTTGATGGCCCTTGAGCGGCAGGAACGTGGCCTAGATTATGCATGATGGCTGATGGTTGCAGAAACACATCTCAGACAAAGAGGGTTTCACCATGTAGTATCCTGTAATTTGTTCATCCCCGTTTTGTCACTATGGTGGTGTTCAGATGATTCAATGCATGGGCAAGTATTCCATCTTGACAAGGGTTTAGGGTTTAGTCAATCATGTGATGCAGTTCTTGAGATCCAGCTACGGGAAGGCAGGACTACCCATTCTTTTGCCATCTGAATTTGTTTTACGAAAGTACCCGAGCTCGTTGCATTTTGTTGCCATTCCTTCCTTGAAAGTGCCATGAATTGTGGGCCTGGAATACAGTCACCAGTTCCCATCTCAAGCCCCCTTAGTTGTACGCTTATGCTTGATAGTCAATGTCTGTTGGGTGAGTCATACCTCACATCCGAAACAACATGACCACTCCTTTTCCAAAAGAAACACCAGCAGCACTGCACAACTCCCAAGCTAAAGTGCATGTACTTAGACAAAAAGGTTCCTTTCTTCAGAGGCTCACAGCATTTCACCTCTAGCCCTTCCCGGCCCGTTCGGGTCCATTCAGTGCCCAGCTTGGAGGGTTCATCGTGCAGTTCCAGCTGAGAGTGCAGGTTGGGCTGTAGTTTCACTGACATACCCTACAGGTTCAAAGATCCAGTAAAACCTGGTTCTTTACCTTATTGAGTAGCGTGTTTGGATGGTTTTTGTGTGATCAACTCATGTAAGGTGAGGTCTTTGACCTAATCCGGATAGTTTTGTCAGAGAACCAACAAAGAGATGTGGGATTTTTAGTCCTGCCACTTTGGACCTGGGGTCAAACATTAACAAAGAGATACTGTAGCCGCCCCAAGTTTGGGTTCATTCCCCCACTTGTCAAAAAGGCTAAAGACCAGTGAACGGCCCAACCTTCATGCCACGACCGGCCACGATCGCGGAAGAAGTGAGTCAAGTTGCTGATTTGGATGCGTATTAGAATAACTATATGAAGAATAAGTAGACCGACAGTAGATCAAATTTGAGAATTTGGATGTGTATTTCCTGATTTGGATGAGGGACAGTAGACCCAAACTCATTGGGCCAGAGGCTTCTCCATGAACATACAATTCATGTTCTTTTTCCCACTTGTTTTTTTTTGTTGTTTTTGCCGGTGTCCCTGAGCCTCCTGTACTAAACGCTCCTAGCTACTCGGACGCTACTAGTATGGACGCAGGATAGCTCACGCTGCTCACGCTCATGGTTAAACACACAACGTTTTGGGCTCCAGACGCTCCAGACGGTCCAGACCGGACGATCCAGACGGTCGCACGAAACAAGCGTAGGGGACAAGCGAAGCGTCCAGACGGTCGACGGTCAGCGTTTTTGAGCTCCAAAAGAACTGAACCCGTCAGATGTCGGAGATCTCTCACGACTTGACCTTCGTGGTGATTTCCTCCATCGGGGCTGCTGGGCGTGAAAAAGGTTGTTGTTTTTCCGGGTCTCCGGTCTCGGGGATGGAAAGGACCATGACATGGTGGTGAACTCCACTTCCATAGTTAGTTTTCCTCAGAGTGTATTTGTGGTGTGTGAGATCCCAAACTCATGCAGATGCTCGTGGTTTGTAGCCGATCATTCCATGTGAGAGGTGCTAGTTACTTTGTAGATCTCCATTAATAGGTGGATGTTCGCACTGTCCACTTTGCTCCGAAATCTAAAGCTTTAGGGAAGTTTGGGTTCAAAAATCATCAACATTCACAAGTCCTAAATCGTGCAAAACATGTTCAGCTGTCATAGATGCACAGCATCATACCGTCGAGCCGTCATGCATCAGACATATATTCGCAGGATTGACTATACTGTCGGCTTTGTTTTTGTTCCGCAGAATTCCACAAGCACATGGATATGACTCAACGGGTGCCACCCAACCACTATGGTCAATGAAACCATGAATTGTGATTTTCCATTTCCTCCCAGGCAGTTTACCGTTGGGGTTCTCTCTTGAGGTCTTAGGAAAAAAACGGGGTGCGCCACGACTACCTCGTGGCCGTGTGTCTTGCTTGTCCGGGCCGTGGGCTCCTTCTTCTCCACCCCGTCCAGGCGTTGTCCCGGTGTATATGTGCGCTTGTGTGTGCTGCTTGGCTGCTGTCCAGGCTTTTGTCCTGCTTGGCCGCTGTCTAGGCTTTGTGAAGGTCTGCGTGTTTTGCTTCAGGCCTTGTCCAGGTCTGTTTGTCCATGCTTGGCCGCGCCGCCTTGTCCGGGCCTTGTCCTTTGCCGTGGGCCCTTTCTTCTCCACCTTGTCCAGGCCTTGTCCCCTGTTTGGTCGCGCCGTTTTCTTTTTTTCTCCACTGCCTTGTCCGGGTTTGTTTCTTGTGGGTATGACTGCAAGAAGAACATGCAGCGTCCCATCCGTGGATTCTTTCAGGACATGCAGGCATATGCAGGCACCCTGTAGGGAGAATTAGAGTACTTATAAAGATGCCTCAGATGTGCAACACCTTCCGCGTTGTTTGTTATTCTTCATCAGAATTTCCTGATGACCAGCACTTGGCACACTAGACGCAATGCGCCGGTCAGCCAAAGATATCCAAAGATATGTATGGGACCCTTTGTTGAATCCTAGGATGCAGGACAAGCACGACAGGGATTCGAGGAGAGAGGAGGAGAGAGAAGAGCAGAGGAGAAGAGGTATGCCGTTAATCAATATAGGTTTATGTTTGTACCTTATAGATGACCGTATTGACAATACAGCCAACCCACTTATCCTTTGCCCCAAGTAACGGGACGTCTCTTGCTGCGACCCATCCGACTCACGACGAGACGACTGGACGTCCAGTGACCAACACTTGACGTCCAGTGACAGCGTCCAACCGGTTTTCGATGGGTTTGAGCGTTTTGTGCCGCGCAAAAACATCACAGATCCATCTGGCAGAACGCCCGAACTGCTGCTAGGGTGTGGTGAAACATCGAGGGACTCTGATCTCATGGTGCCATCTGGTCCGAGCGAGCCTCCATGTTTTTGCTATTTTTCTCCAAAGCACCCACAGTGGATTCTTATGGTAAAGTGACCACGGGGTGGGTGGCTTCGATCGAGGGTGCTCGATCTGGGCTAGTTGGTGTTTGCTTTTTGCGGAACCTCAGCAGCCGAGAACACTCAGGTTTGGTCTCGCAGCAGCCGCAGCTATGAGGAGATTCCGCCCAGAGCACCCCCCGGAGCCGCCAGAGCCTGGTAGCCCAGCAGGTGGGTGCTCCAGCAGGTGAACTCGTCAAAGCCGCATGTACGTGGAGCATCCAATTCTGGCTAGCTCCATGGGGCTCTAAGTTCCAACGACATGAGTACTGAGTGCAACTTGTGGAAGAGCTCTATGAACAAAAGTCACAGATTAAGTTCAATAAATCACAGTTCAACCCCTTCTCCATCACCCCGGCCTGCCGTCGCTGAGGTCGGGAGCCGAGGATGCCGTTCCGGCACCCCCTCCCCCCGCCGGAGCGGGATGGGTGATGGCCGGTGACATGGATGGGCAAGGACATGAAATGAGGAACACATATTGAAGGTTGCATGATACATCATGATACTGCCTTGAAATATGCAGATCTGGGGTGAGAGAGGTTTATCAGAAGAGTCTTCAGGACTCTGTTGGTGAGGTTGAAGTAGATGATGTTTGCATATGTTTGCTTTGTTCAATCAACCTAGGTTGCAAGACACCTGCCTCACCCTCTTGCCACAGATTGCGCCTCGCAGGTTGAGTTGGATGTCAATCCCATGCTCTCTCCGACGCATGTATGTATACACCCTGGAGACAAATCATGGTGATGTGAATGGCATACTTTCCTCAAACAGGGGGGTGCCATCCACTTCAATGATTAACGATGCTTTCAGGGAGTGTAATTGATTCCAGAGATGTTGCCACGCAAACGAACTCACCCACTTGCACAGTCGAAGAGAACATGCTTCATCTTTCCTTGACTGAGGAAGAGTAGATCACTCGATGAATGTTGGGAATGACCCGTTGGACATTCAAAGTCTGTCGATGTTTGTCGGTGAAGGATGCGGGCTGGCGACCGTTCAGACGCCTTTCGGTGTAGTTTGCAAAACTGCTTGCTGGCGGGACCGCCAACACATGGGCTCACGTTTGGTTTATCAACGTCAGGATGCTGAGAGAGCAGCATGTTGCATGGTGCAAACGTGTTGCTTCCAGGAGGGAGACACCTCGGCCGCTGAAGATGGAGAAGCAGGCGAGCGCCGCACCGCGGCGCTGGCGCCGTGCACTTAGCGCTTTGTGAGGCATCCCATGAAGTTGGCCCACGGGCCCATGAAGGAAGAAATCCAGCGGTGTGGCAGTATGGGGAAAGAAATTACTATGTTAGGGTGTGTTCAGGCGATGTTTTCAGATGCTCACATCATGAAGTTCATATAAGTTCATGAAGCATACAGTAGTTCCACACTCCCTATCACGTGACCACCCTCCTAATAACATCTAACAAACATCCCAGACTTCATCATGAGGGTACATTGATTTTTCAGGAAGGGAGGATTAGTGGGTCTTAGATGGTCTTAGTGTTTTGTATGACCTCATAGCCAGGATTCTGCCGCCTCATTGCTACGACCGTTGTAGGTCAGGCTTTCATACGACGACAGAACGGTGGGTCTTTGGACAGAACGGTGTTGGATCCGCACGGCGACCAAAAGACCTTGTGGTCTCGGAGACCACACGGTCTCCACCGATGAAGCCTCATCCTCATGCACTGGTCGCGGGGCGGCGCCGCCCAGCGACCCCGCACCACCGAAGTGTTCAAGGAATGTCAAGTCTTCCGAACGTCCTTTGTGGGCGCACCACCGAAGTGCTGGACGGAATTCGGACGGAGACGGTACCGAAGTCGGGACGGGACTGGCGCCATGTGTGATCGGTGGATGACTCCGAAATTGAGGAGAACGGCGCAGGTCAAGATGCTACCCGATGACCCGATGCTCACCTGGTCATAGTCATATAGCCATGTCTGAACTGAGGAAGCTCAGAGAAGGGTCACATCATGTCGCATCATGAATGGCTGAAATTCAAGTGGTGGGTTTTGCCCGAACAAAAGTCCAGGACGATCTAAAGAGATGGAGAAAAAACTGTTGAACCAGGGAGAGTGTTTTCAATGCAGGTCACTACCCGGTAGCTCACCATCCAGCCCTATAGCTCGCGTTTCGCGCGTGCTACCTGGGATCCCTTTCGACCCCGGGGCCGTTTCGCATGTACTGGTGCAAACCAACGGCTCCAAAGAGTCCAACGGGTGGCGGCGGCTTGAATTCTCTTTAGATCTGTTCCTTGAAATATTGACTTGATCCATAGTGATCCAACTTATCCAACTGATCCATATGATATGGACCTGAAAAAAAGGGGTGAGAAAATGCAGATTCACAAGTAAGTAGTGTGGGGTCCGACAGGAAGGTGCTGGTATGTTTCGTTGATTTTGACACGATGTTTTTCATCAGATTCTGAAAATTCATTCGGAAATCCCCTCTTCATCAAAGCTCTGAAGAGACACCTCCTTTGAGTCGGGGGTCCCTGTCACGTTTCTTTTTGGAGAACTTCTTCGGGCAGGTGAAGAGGCGGCTGAGGTGCAGGTCGGACGCGTCGGACGAGTTGTGAAGACCTGCCGTCCGACTCTG